ATATTATAGCCCATAGCTCCTCCTGACATCACCAAGTCAACGACGTCATCGTCTCGAGGCCGCGCCTTTGGCCCTGTTTGTTTATATGTTTGTTTGTTTGTTTGTTTGATTGTTGATTCTTGTCTGAGGAGCGGCAGCGCATTTAATTTGATTAACTCAATGGCCGGCCAACCCCCAAGAACTTTCTGGGTGTGCAATTCAACACGGGAAAAAGAAGTTGCCTCCGCTAATACTTGCTGCTCTAGTTGTGTTTTATTTCCTTTATTTTCGGGGGGGAGGGGGAAATAGTAGTTAAAGGGGTCAAAAAAGAAAATATATAAAAAGTTTAGCATAGGGAATGGGCAAGCGGTCATGCAGGAAGCCTACGGATGGCGCTGATAGTCAGGGCAGACTGTACCTGGCCACTGGCATCCGTGTAGATGACACATGAAGCATTCAAGGGTATTTTCGGATTTGCTATATTTATTTTGTTTTGGCCAAAAAGCCAAAAAAGACATGCCTCAAATCGAATATGCGTTATGAGAGAAATATTTATATAGAAATATATATATGTGTGTGTGTGGTGTGTGTGTTTGGGTGAAAGTGGTTTGGTGATATTAAAAAAAAACAGAGAGAGAGAAGGAGAATGTGTGAACACAAAAATATATATATATATAAAGTAGTTATAATTTCGGTTTTTGTTGGTTTTCCATGCAGCGTTTGTTTTTCGATCCAAATCCGTGCGTGATTGTTGTTATTCATAAATTAAATAGATATAAATATTTGGTTTCATTTTGTTTTGAGTTTTGCATGCAAAATGGTGAGAACATTGTTTTCATGTATTTTTTTTTTTTTTTTTTTTGTTTTTAATATAAATATCATTGTTGATTTTTTGCGCATGTGTGTTAGCATGTAAAAAAGGTAGAAAAATTAGAGGAAATAATTATATTGTTTCGCAAATCCATCGAAAATAAATGAAAATAAATTAGTTTGCATTAAAGACTTAAAATTAAGCTTAAGCTGCATATGCGAAAAACAAGTTTCAGACTAGTAAAACAAAAAAATATAATCCCATATGTTGGTCCTATCTTCCAGCTCGTTAACGGTCCTTGATTTCGAATTATGCAAATAAAGGGGAAAGGCTCGAAAAAAAAACTGAAGCCGCCTTTTGGGAGAGAGGTGAAAATAAAGTTTTGCAGGCCACACGGGACACGAGTTAATAAATGTAAATGTGTGACACCACGCCCTCTGCTATCGCCGACTCAGACGCCACCGCCGCCGCAGCCGCCCTCCCATTAAAATAACAATGTTTTCGTGTTGTAATTACGGCTTTCGTCCTTGCAGACCGCACCCAACCACCCACTCGTGTAATTAACTTGTTGCTGGCAGAAAAGTTTTTTCGGATCTCTGGCTTTTGTTGTTCGCATATGCAAAACGCACTTAAACCTATCGTAGATTAGTTCGGTTTCGGTTTCGGTTCAGTTTGGTTTTGGTTTTGGTCTCATATTTTTCGTTTTTGAAAGCTGAAATGGCAGCAGCAACAGCAGGCAAATTAGCAAATTATAAAACAGTAGCATACTTTTTTGGGTGGGGAACTTGGTCGGTTAGTTGACGCTGCAAATAAATGGGATTATACTAAAAAAAAAACTAAAAATAAAAAACGGCAATGAAGCGCAGGCTAAGCGGCAAAAAACTGAAAAAAGCAGAAAAATAAAATGATGAGTTAATAAAATAAAATGCATTTTTAAATAGAAAAAAACAAAAGTAAAACTCATTATGGCAGCAGCAGCTATTCACAATTTTTGAAGCGCATTTCAAACTTGTTATACTGCATCAGCCGTAAATGCTGTAAACGAGAAAAAAAGAGGGTAAGGTAAGCTCGGTTCGGTTATCAAGCAGGGGGGGCAAATCGCTCCTCACAGCACATCACACAGAAACAAGGCAAATACTTACTACATACATACAAACAAGCCTGCAAAAGTCAATCAAATATGGTAGATAGATATATATATATAAATGTATATATAAGGGTATGCATACATAGGAGTATCAAATTTCAAAGGGAACGCAAGAAAACTTTCACTAAATTCTTTGGGTTTACCAGTTTGCCTTGTAGTTGTAGTGTTTGTTTGATTTTTAAGGACTGTGTATGTGTGTGTGTGTGTGTGTTTGGGTGACTGGACTATAGACTCTGGTTTTCTTCCAGCGCAGGAAAAAGTTGAAGCAGTATTCTATTTGGTTTTAGATGTTCTCGTTCTCAAGCGTTTCGCAGTGCCTTCAAAAGCAACTTCACCTAGAAAGCATCTCGCACTACAGAACTTGCTAACTAAGAGTAAGTGTGTGTGTGTGTGTATATATAGGTATGTGTATTTGGGTGTGTTCTGTGTGTGTATGTTAATTATCATATGGAGTATATAGTCTCCTCTATGTTCAGCAAACAGTCAAACATTTTACATTGCGGATCATTTTTTTTGATATCCTGCTGTTACGAAAAAGAAAGAAAAAATTCGTTTGAAAAGAAAAAAAAAAAAAAGAAGTCATGTTAATAACATTTTACTTGGCCAAAAGTGTATTTGAATATGTATATGTAAGTGTGTCTATCGGCGGGCTAAGGAGATCGAATGTTTGATCGATCAGGCAACTATATCATCGATCTCCGATCTTTCTTAGCTCCATCGATCAAAGCAAAGTTAAAAAACGACAAACGAGTCTACCAAAACGAAAAAAAAGTTTAATGGTGAGCATTAGACATACTTAGCATCTATATAGCAGGTATCAGTCTTCAGATATAATCATAAGTATACCGTTATGGGAGTAAACAAAAGCTCGGATATATATATTTTTTTTTTTGGTTTTTGGGGGCGGTGCACCAGCTTACCTTAGAAGTGCTTTCATATAGCTTTACCATCATACCACATGCCTCAGAAGCCATACACGAGTTATATATGTATGTGAACAAACGCAATGTACGAGTAGAGTAATATATATATCGATCTCGAGAGCGAGCGAGAGAGATATACACATATATAGAGGGTAGAAAGAGACAGCCACTTGCAACGTCACTGCTTGATATTCATACTCATAGTCATATCGGAATACTTGCTACAAAAAAGTTCTGTTTCATTGAGCACATGCTGAAAAATTACAAATTACGCTCCAATCGAAAGTTCGAAAATCGATAAATGATGATTAAAATAAAACGATAAACAAGAAAGGCCAACTAAATGAAGGTAAATCAAAAATAATTTCATGATTATCGTAATTTTTTTCCCTCGATAACTTTTCTCCGAGATAGAGAAAGACGAGCGCTTTGTTAAAGGCGAACGAATGAAAGAGTCAGGTATAGTGTTTGTTCGAAAGAGACGACATTACTGTTTCTTTGGCCACGCTCAAACTTTTTGTAATGAACTCAAGGAAAAGCTTCAAGTTGAGTTTCGTTTAGGTATAACATCGGAGGACTGATTATTGATTCAAGGATCATGCTAGTGAAAGGAGGAGTTATAGTAAGACTAAAAATCTTGAGGTTCGTGAGAGTTACATCTAGAAGATAGAGATTTAAAGTTGCTTGCTTGAAAGATAGAGATTAGATTTAAATTAGAGCAAAATGTTGGCAAAAACTTAAAATGATTCGAAGCATTTTCTTTGAAAACATTACAAAAAGCGCTTAACTCTAGTGGGTATATTCGATATTGACATATATATATATATATATATATATATATTTATTATTAATATTATTTATTCCATACACAAGAACAGCTTTAGCCAAACAATACAGTAATATATATCTCTGGATAGACCAGCAAGCCAAGTGTACTGAGAGTTCTACCAAAAGGAAATCGGGTGGTGTCTGTGTGAGGTGTTCATGTGAGGAAAATAAAAATGAAATTTTAGTCGAGCAGAGAGAGCACATTGAGTTTTACGTACGCCTAAAACAGTTACCATCGAGGTTTTTAAAAATCAAGAAAAGCATTTACTTAAGTAATATAGATATATAATCGATAAAGCTTGATTTAACTTAAGGATTCAGCAAAATGAGTAGACCAACTTAGGTGTAAAATCATAAATATACCATAAACATAAGTTATAAAAATAATAATTAAAGTTGAAACAGCCAACAAATAGAGAGAAAGAGAGAGAGAAAGAGACAACGCACAGCAAACTGTTGTTTATGGATTAGTAGTGGGTGAGAAAGAGAGAATGTTAGTTTCGATTCGATCACTTTCCAAGGTTCGAGTAAAAGAAGCCAACAAGTTGTTTTACGGTTTTTACAATAAAACGTATATAATATAATTTCAATATAATTTGTTTTTGTCTTTTTATAATAATACGACTAATGTTAGCACAGATATAACATATTCATTAGTGTCTTTGCTTGTGTATAGATGTGTATATATATATATATATATATATATTATATATATGTTATGAATAAATTTAACTTCGACATTCTTGCTCTGTTATCAACTCTCTTATTTTGACATGCTTTTTTTCGCTCACTTATCTCGTTGATGGTAGTGATAGCGAAATGAGATCCTCATACAAACATAAATTGTTTTCTCTCAGTGTTTATGTGAGTGTGTTTGTGTGAGACTTTTGGGTAAGGCTACAAAAGAAAAGGAGGCAACTAGGTGGTTTCTACTAAACTATACATTCTATTGGACGGTACTGTACTGTTCTATCTATTGAAGAAGGCTTGAAAACCCATTTTACTATATATTTTTTGGTATGGACTGTGGTTTTCTCTAAGTGGTTTATGTTTTTCATTCCTTTTTTCTTCTCTTGTTTTGTGTATATTAAAAATCAGCCTAACTCATCATTATCCTAAGGTGTCAACTGACAATTCATTGCTATATTGTTGCATAATGTTAACATACTGCTTATTTGTTTGTTGTCTGTCTGTTTGTTGCTGTGTTTCTTTTGTTTTTCTTTTTTTTTTATGGTGCATTGCAAAGTTTGGAAAAAAGCGGAATAAAATATGAGCTCTTAGATCTGAAATGCAAGTTAGTTAGGTTTATCTTGGCGCCATGCAGTGGTGAGTGGGTGTTTTTTTTTTTTGAGTTTGTTTTCAAGTTTTTTGTTTTGTTTTTTTGTTTTTGCTTTAGTTCTTAGTTTTGAGAGCGTTTTCTAAACATTTTCGCATAGGTTTTTCATTTAGCTGAAATCATGGGCCAACGGCAACAGTTCTACATTGTTAACGAACAAAAAAATTAACCATACGACACATATAGATAGATGTTATCATACTTTTAGGCAAGACATTGAGATATATGATGAATATATATATATATACTTGAATCTGGTTTAGCTTGCTATATATATATATATATATATATAGGTTGATTCAATATTGTATTCGGCTGCCATGTTTAGTAAGCATCTTTCTTATCGAGTATATAGAGTAAGCCAAGCATTAGCTGGCCATAGGCATATAAGGTTTATGTTAAGATATAGATGGTATATTCAGATTTTACAACTAAGTCTCTACCATTAGCGTACTCATTTTGCTTGCCATTATTCTAAGAGCTAAAACATATATAGAATGAGATGGATTTACTGGGGGGAGGAGGTATAGATCAGATTGGGGAAGAAGCAATAGTGTGTGGTAAGCAGGTCAAAGAGGAAAAGTCAGGCAGTCCTTAGATTATGTATGGCTGTGTTTTCTGTGTCTGTGTGAGTGTGAGAGAGAGAGAGGGAGATAGCGATAAATGCTTAAATAAATGATATAATATTAAAAAATCATATTAAATCAAGAATTTGGTAAGCTTTGGAGGGTAGGAGAGATAGATAGATAGAAAGAGAGAGAGAGAGGGTGCTGCTCTGCCCAAAAGCGCTCGGCAAAGCTTGTGTGGATTGGGATATATAACTGATATATATGTCTATATATCAAAGGAGTACGTTTATATCAGAGTGGTGAGAAGTAAAAGCGGCACAACAGAAAACGTATATATCAAGTGAATACCAAAATAAGTAAATCAATAAAAGTATAATACCAACACACAATAAGATATATATATTTGTTTTTTGTTTCTTTAAACTATATATTTAGATAAACACACGGTATTTCAAATAAAACATTAATAAAAACTATCGAAACTAAACTAGAATTAGGATTAGAATTAGGATAAGAATTAGTGGCAAACATCAAATCGTTGTAAGACATTAGAAGTACTTCAATTAAAAACAATTTTACAGAGATTATCATATATATATATATCGAATAGTAATGTATGTATGTGTGGGGATGTTCTCGGATGTGGTGGAGTTTCTTAGCAGGTGCAAAGGTGGTATAGGCGGGCGGGGGTAAGTCTAAAACTTAAGGTTCGCAAGCCAGTGGCAAATTTATCATGTTGTTGTAGGTTTCTTCTCAAAGTTTCAACCTATTTCTCAATCATGGGGGGAACACACGTTTAAAAATTATATAATAACTACACTAAAAAAACTTGTTTAATAAGTACATAAAATACATAAATATCAACGTAAAAATTACATAGAGAAGAACGTAAAGAAAAAACTGATAATCACACGAGATCTAATATTAAAAACTTAATTCTGTTTGTCAATGATTTTATTATTAATTGCTTAACATTTCGATTACAGAAAACGGAAAACATTTATAATACATCGAAAGAGTGGGCGATACGGAGGGTTAAGAGACAGATGAGTGAGAGTGGTATCGGGGCTAGATATATAGAGATAGTCGTTAAAAATCAAAAAGGTTTTACATAGTAGTTCTGGTCAAAACATCAAATTTAAATCTCGATAACATAACATTAACATAAATCAATTTTGCTGGCTTAACAGTCTGAATGGTGTACGGATGTGTATATGTGTGTGTTAAAGTGAAACGGATAGAGAGACGTGATCGTGGCTGGTGATGACTGTACTGTAATATCTGATTAGTAAGCTAGACATACGATTTACAGATCGATCCTGGTCATGTTTATGCCATTTTTGTTTTGTTTTTTGTTGTTGTTGTGTTTTAGTGAGAGATGAGCGTATGTTAGAGTACATAGTGTGTGTGTGTGTGGGTGTGGGTGTGTGGGTGTGGGTGTATATATCGTATATCGTATATGGGTAGCAGCATACAGCACGTACAGCTAGGTTTATATGTATATGTATATATCGTATAAGTATTCTATATAAACTAGACAATATTCGTTACGCATTTATCGTTGCTCAACAATTTTAAACAATTACAACAGCATTCACGCTAGCTATCATCTATGTAGCTAGTTAGGAAACATTCAGAGACAGCGATAGGGTGTTAGACAGAGAGAGAGAGAGAGAGCGCGCAGAAAATGAATGATGAGCGGTAGCGAGAGAGAGAGATAGATAGATAGCTATACGAACTACCGCATATGGGAGACAGGGACGGCGATATGGCATTAAGCACCCGCAGCTAGCAACAAGCATACACAACTGTACCCAGCATCGGCAGCAGCATTAGAGGATTATCCTTTTCCCATGGCTTTATATCCTTTTGATCCCGCAAAAGCTTTTTCGCTATCACAGTTCTTCGTTTCTCCCTCTCTTTCGTTTTCTCATTATATCCCGTCCGCGTTTTTTTAGTTTTTCTTTTATCTATCCGTGTTTTGTGTGACCGTTCGCTTTCTATAAACTAGAGTTGACTAAGAGCTATCCGAAAAAAGGAACTTAAGTATTACTATCAGCTAACATCTGTTTCCCTTCCGTTCTTCCGCTTGTGCTTTAAAAGCATCGTTTCTCGATTCTTGTGCGAAAAATGGCAACACATTTGAGTCACAGTGAGGTTATGTTTCGTTCTGTCAAATAACTTAATGGCAAATTATCGATTGGTCAGCAAGTATCGGGCATTTGTGTTAGTAAAGCATCGATCTTCGATCTGTCTCGCTGTCTGTCAGAATTTTCGTTAGTTATCGTGTCATGGTTCGTGGTAGTTAATCTAACGCTATGAGGCCTATGGTATAACTAAACGTCTAAACGCTTCTCTCTACATGTCCTTTTCCAAGAAAACTGAGGCACATAAACTTACGTCTTCGATGTGTTTAAATCTATCAATCTAATTAAGTGTGACTTTACCATTTGGCTATCCAAATGGCTTTCAGTGTCTTAAGTACAGTTGTGTTTGGGTGTTTTAGTTAAGTTAGTCGGTTATTGCCCAGCTTCTTAGGAGGTTTTCATCTTTTTGTATGGATTCAGGACCATGGCACTGCCTGGAGTTCCTGCCTGAGCGGCGGCTGCTGCCGCTGCAGCAGCTGCTGCATATTGCTGCGCTGCAGCAGCCTGAGTTTGTGGCATGGCATAGGCTGCGGTGGGCATCATGCCGGGATAGAAATAGCTCTGAGCCTGGGCATATGGCATGGGCGAAGGTGCTCGTAGTAAGGCAGCGGATTGATACTGACCGGCAGCCACCGATCCAGCTTGTGCTGAACGCACTGGAGTGCCGGGAACTGGTGTGGTTAGACCGGAACTCGGCAGAGAACCTAACTGACGCAGTTGAGCCTGCGCCTGCGCCTGTGCCTGGGCCTGGGCCTGGGCTTGAGCTTGAGCTTGGGCCTGTACCTGAGCCTGTGCCTGAGCCTGCATCTGCAGGAGAGCTGCCATGGAAACGGCTTGGGGTTGAGCTGCCTGAACAGCCTGTGGACCAGCTGCTGCTGCTACATAGCTCTTGTTCAGAGTCAATCCCGTGTAGGCAGCTGCCGCGGATGAGGCACTTGGTTTTCCAGCGGCACTGGCCACCTTCATGGCGTAGTTCTTTTGGGCCACTTCCTTGGCCAAGGCAGCGGGATCGGTGTAGTAAGCACCTGCCGTGGTGGCTTGAGGAGCCAGACCAGCGGCTGCAGCATAGGCGGCATAGGCTTGCTGGGCATAGACAGCCTGAGCATGAGCCTGGGCCTGAGCTTGGGCCTGAACCTGAGCCTGTTGCTGTTGCTGCTGTTGTTGCTGCTGCTGCTGCTGTTGCATTTGAGCCTGGGCATATGATGGAGTGCTGCTAGGCAGACTCCCCATGGTTGAGGTGGCTCCACCATAGGCGGAGTAAAGATTACCATAGCTATAGGCGGGCATGGCATAGTTAATGCGCTGCAAGCCCTGAGCCTGTGCCTGAGCCTGAGCCTGAGCCTGGACCTGAGCCTGAACCTGAGCCTGAGAGTGATAGGAAACTGCCGGAGCAGAAGTAGTGGGTGTTGGCAGGATACCAGTGCTCTGACCATTGGCCGTATATCTAGAATAAGCCTCGCCATTCTGCTTGGCATAGTTGCGCGATGCCGATGCTGCTGCTGCTGCTGCTGGGTTATTGCTGCTGCTACCCTCTAAATCGCCATTCAGTTCGTCGGGATTAGCCGACTTTAGTTGGCCATTGTTCAGATTGTTATTGATATAGGATAAGTAATTGTTATTGTCACCCAGGCCATTGGATAGGGGCAGAAGACTATCGCCTTGCGGGGAATTGGGGCAAGAGTTTGGCGATGTGGCGCCATTAGATGTGGCTGTTAAAGCTGCTGTTGTAGTAACAGTATCTAATGTATCTGTTGTTATTGTTGTTGTTGCAGTTGCTGTGTCTGGATTTGGTGAGATTGTTCGTGTTGTACTACAATCGTTAGTGGGACTTGGATTTTGGTTCGGATCTAGATTCAGATTAAGATTCGTTTGGTCAATATTATTGTCTTGATTGATGGCTTGATCAATGTCATCGCTGTTGCGTTCCGCATTTTCAGTTTCACCATCAGCAGCAGCATTATCTTGATCTTTGTCATGGACTTGATTGCGATCGTTATCGTTATCGTTATCGGCACTATCGTTTGGATTAATAGTAGCTATTGTTGTTGTTGCTGCTGTTGCTGATAATAATAATGATGGAGTTGATGATAATGACGATGATGATGCTGCTATTGTTGCTGTTGTTGTTGTTGTTGCTGCTGATGATGCTGATGGTATATTGGTAGTAGCAATTACAGCGTTTATGATACTTTTATTATTAATATTATTAATTAGATTATTACTGGCTGTTGCTGTTGTAGTTGTTGTTGTTATGGCGCTACTTAATTGTAGTTGTTGTTGTTGTAGTAGTACAGATTGTTGTTGTTGTTGATGTAGTTGTTGTTGTTGTTGTGGTGGTGGTTGTTGTTGTTGTTGTTGTTGGGGATACTCACATGAGACTGGCACGTAGGGCTGCATTAACTGCTGATAGGCGGTCGCACCGGGCTGATAAACTGGAATGCCAGACTTTTCGGCAGCTGGACGTTTGAACGGTACCATGCCAGAGAACTGCTAATCATCGACGTCAACAGAGACAGGTAGGTTGGTTGGTTGGTTTAAAAGAGAGAAAGAGATGAAAGAAACACACAAAGAAATTAGTAATCAATTAGTAGTATTATTTACTCTCAACTTAGCCTACTGGTAACCATTATTACACTATAACAATTGCTTACAAACGAGCTTGCTTTTTGGTTAATTTTGAGTTTCTTATTATTGTTTTTTTTTTCGCTTTGCTTGCTTTTTTTTTTTTTTGGTTTTCATTTCGCCAATTTCTTTCGTTTGGGGTGAGAGTTACCAAAATATATGAAATATCAAAATGAAAAATGTCTTCAAAAATTAAAACAAAATCAGAAACGTAAAAATCGAAATCTCTAAACATAGGCTCTGGGCATACATAGTTGGCAAACTAAACAAATCGAAAGTGCGTGCATTTCGGTGGAAAATTGGGAAAAGCGTTCGCAGTTTATACATCTATATCTATAAGTGAAATGAATAAGCTTTCAGTGTTATTGATTTATTGAATATATTTTGATTTTCTTCCGATTGCTTTTTGATATTTTGTGTGCGCATAAAAGTTAATCTTCTCGATCAACCTTAAATATCTCTTTTTTTGCGTTTATTTCTTTTTTATGAAAATTATATTCGTTTTTTTCAAGAAGCAGACCAATTTCCACGATTTGTCTTTATTTTTTTGATAAAATTCGTTTGATTTTGAATGCATGCGGCGATCATCGAAAGTTTGTCTGGTTAGTTGAGTATCTGAATGATATTATATATGTATATTATCGCTGGTTATGGCTATAGTCAGGCAGTAGTGTATAGATATGGTTGATCGATTTCTAGGCGGACTACTGTACGTGGCGATTGTCATTCAGTTTTGGAGTACTTACGAAGTTTTCATAGTAAAATGAACCAACCGTTTTAACATCCATCTTTTTTGGCATTTATTTGGCATTTGTTGTTGATAATGCGGTTAGTGTATGATTTGTAGTTGATTGTTGGGTTATCATTGTTTGATTGATGGTCAGATCGGATCGGGGTTAACACACACATATCGCAGTTATATATATTTTTTGTTTGTTTTCGATTTCGAGTTTTCGATATACAGTGATAATATTGAGGTGTTTTTTTTTATTTTTTTTTTGAGAAACGAACGCAAGATAGTTGTATGGAATCGAAGAAGAGCAAATGAAGAGGAGAGAAGAACACAAATGAAATTAGTGGATATATCCTGGGCACAGTACAGTGGCATTATGGCATTAATCAGATACATATATACATAAAACGGGTACACAGATATACTTAGTCCTAATTGGTGGCAAATGTGATGTGATCTGATGTGTGTGTGTGTGTGAATGGGCGTGATGTAAACGGAAAACGTAGGGGGGTATAAACAAAGTCTGCAGGCTGCAGGCTGGCTGGCTAGAGGTGTGTGTGTGGTGCATGTTCAGCTAATTAACCAGGAAAAGCACTTAAACAATTAAGCTCGCGAATGCAATCAACGGCACAGGCGAAAGCGAAAGAAAGAGACTTACAGTTTACCGCTAAAGGTATATAGCTACATGTTACAGATTCAGATACAGCTACTAGTGCTATAGCTACAGCCTTGGCAATTATCGGTTAAATCATTTTAATTAACACTTGGCAGGGCAAATGTGCTCCGTGTTGTGATTTATCATATGCCACGTGTAATTGGTTAAACTCTCTCTTGCCATTGCCATTGCAAAAAGTGTGCATTTGTGTGGGTGGTTCGTCTGTATTGATTAGTGTGCGTGTGTGTCTTGGTTGAGTGTTTGCGCTTTTGATATATCGGATAATGACTTCATTTTGTAAATTAAATGCCGGGGGTTGCATCCCCTAGCCGACCTGGCCATGCTCTGATAATAAACGTTAATTGATGGCACTTTGATGTGCATGTGACTGACTAACTGAGTGGGTGGGCAGGTGAGTGATTGAGTGAATGAACGACTGGTAAACTAAGGTGAGCTGACTGACATCGTTAGTTAGGTTAAAGTTAAAAGCATTTCGTTTCAACGAACTGAAGGTACTGGGATGGGTTTACCCGAGGAAGGTCCATAGTCTATGTGGTTGGTTTTGATCATTTTGGAGTTTCTTGAGCTTTGGTGAGGGAACAATATATTCTTTAAAATCTTTGCTAAAGCAGAATTCCTTTAATTTTGTGGTTTGATAACCAAAAATCTTCTTTCATAGACTTATTTTACAATTGTTAATTATTATATATTTTTTACTTCATCACCAAAGCATCACTTAAGATCCAAAACGAACTCTACTTATAAATATCTTCCCACAGCGGAGATCCTTTAGGGAATCTTCACCTGCCTAAAAGCATGCAACGAAAATAGCGAAACTATATTCAACAACCAACTGAAGCATTAACAAATTTTCAAAATCAATTTAAATCAATTCGATTTACAGGGAGTTAGTAGAAAAAAAAACAAAAATCAAAATTCAGAAGTAAGGAAAATTACCAAAAAAAAAAAAAAACAAAAACAAATACATGTAAAATCGAATAACGCAAAAACACAAAGTGAAGGAAAAGAAAAATACCAGTGGAAACATATCGGTTGTGTCCGCCGCCCGCTTCTTGCCCACTTCCAGTGTATGATGGCCCATTACAGCGGCTGCAGCGGCGGCAGCAGCAGCGGCGGCGGCGGCAGCGGCGTTGTTTGTGGTTGTTGTTGCTGTTGTCGATGTTGCTGCTGCGCCAGCGGTGCTGTGGTTGTTGTTGTTGATGTTGTTCAGCTGGTGTTGCAATTGTTGTTGTTGCTGGTGATGGTGTGCCGCAAGAGGTGAGGTCTGTATGTTCGTTTGTGTGTGTGCGTGTGTGTGTGCGTACGTGTTTGTCAAACATTTTTCAAATATTTTTATGATTTTTTTTTAAGTTTTTTGAAAATTGAAATCAAACGAAAATTCACACAGAGAGAGAGAGAGACCAAGGCAAATATGCAAAATTATTCAAAAATACAAGCATTTAAATGATGTGTCCATTAAATAGTTGAGAGATTCCAATTTGAATTATTCAAGCGGCAGTGGTGTTGGCATTTTTAATTGATTTTTTGTTTCGTTTTTGCGATTGCCATGAATTATTAATTAGTGTGTCCAATATTGTATATTTTTTCATATTTTTCCAGCAAATTATGCAAGGGAAACAGAAATATATTTGTTTGAGTTCATTTTTTGATATTTTTCGTTGTTTTGTTTTTGTTTAAAGTTTTGTGCACAAGTGTGTGTGTGTGTTCGTACCATCCATCGTAGAAGCAGTTACAGTGTGTGTGTGTGTGTTTTTGTGGGTGTAGGTGTATTTGTGGTGGTTGGCACAGGCGAACAGATGAAAAATACATAATAGTAGAAGAGTACGGAAGTGTTTTGATATCGATAAGTAAATAAATAGAAAAAAATCAAATTTTTACGTATATATAGATTATATTCGTATATATATATGTATAAAGAGAGAGATAGAGAAAGAGAGAGTAAATATGAATAAATCAAGTAGAAATCAACGGTAATCCAAATAAACACGATTTCCATTTGATATTTGAAAGAGCCTTAAATAAACGTTACACATACCAACTAAATGTTAATAATTTCGATTAATATTCATTGGTTTTAATTCGGAAAGAAGCGTAAATCAAGTTAGTTTTGGTTTCGGTGTGAGTGTGTTTAAGCCTTGTTGGTTTTTTGGTTAGAGAATCGTTTCAAAAAGAAGCTTGCGAAAGCCAGCAAAGTGTAAAAGCTTTTGTTTTCTTAGATACTAAAACTTATTCTTGTTCTCTTAAGATCTAACTTATGGAAAAAGGCAAAGAGATTGGATTGCCAATGACATCACTAGGTTTCACCAATTGATTCGCCAACTTTGACTAGACACATTCGCATTTGTGGTTTGTTTTCGTATTTAAAGGGCGCATAAGATATATATCAAGTATACCTACCGATGCTTCTTTGCTGCTGTTCATTCATAAAAAGGAGAGTAAATCTCAGGCAAATCAAGAAGGAAATTTGTTTAAACTCTGTTTGTGGTTTGGGGTTTTGGGTTTGATTTCAAAGGTAATGTTTTTGGATTTTGAAATTTCCACTTTTAAGCCCTATCATATATATACCCCTAGTGTGCCAGTTTTCAAATCCCCGGCAAAGTTGTGACCCCAATTTCCGTACCCATAAATTTTCCAAGCAGAGCTCAATGCTAATGCGTTTAACACCGCAATTGGGTTCGGCTCGGGCTCTTGCCCGATTTTCGCCCCTTTTGCCACGAAAGTGGACCCATGTGTGCCTAATAACCAAGAACCACAAAATAAAAATAAACCAAAACATAATACAAGCGAGCACTGGCGAAAAAAACTTAGCATACATTTGGGCGCAGGTCGCATGAAAGAGTGCACAAATTTGCATTTAAATGGAGGCAGCGAAAGAGACAGCCAGTCCGAGGTGCAAAAGAGATGGCCAGTTGACCCGACTCCTTTTGAGCTGCATTTTTTTTTTTTTGTTCCGCCACTTTTTCTGGGGCTAGTGTCACTGGCAATGAATGCTACAAATGGATTAATTCGCTTGGGCGCGACAACATCGTGGGGCATTCGCCATATGTATGTATATATGTATATACATACATCCAGATATATACCATTTCTGTATGATGCTGCTGTATTGGGGTCGAGTCCATAAAAAACCAACTCGGCAGGCTGACTGGATGGCTGGCAGGCAAGGCAGACTCCGACGGACAATTCATTGGCATGGAAATCTCTGCTTTTAGTTAATTTTCCGGTTCAAACGTTATCCGGCCCGGACTAATCCATGTCGTTCGTGTCCATGTCCGTGTCCTGGTCCGTATCCCTGTCCTTATACGTATACGTATCTGTGTCTCCTGTACAGGTTGACATTTACATTTTTGGTCAGTTCGGTGGGGGGGCAAAAAAAAAAGTAAGCGCACTCCTGTCGTCCACCAAACCGTACTCCTCCTCCGTTTCCCCTTCAGTTTCACTTTTCCTCCGGCCTTTTTTCTTGGCCGAGATGCTCTTGTCACGCTTACATGCCGGGATTATAGTTCTGTGTGGTCGTTGGTTGCGGCAGGTGGCATATTTACCATCATCGACGTCGAAGGGGAGATCCCCCATCGATATTTGGGGCTTTTTTCCTCCACCTCCATTTCGTTTCGTTTCCTCGTTTGCTGACATATGGGGGACGTTTTTGGTGACCCAGAATGCCAAACAGCAATCATAATAAACAAAACTTAAACGCTTATCAACGACAGCAACAATAACACAGGGAAATTATTGAGGAAAATCATAAATGCAAAAGGTAAAGTTTTTGTGTTTGGTCTGCTTTTGTGGTGTGGTTTTTGTAGAGTCTGTCGATTGGATATGAATATATATATATATAAAGATATAAACGTTTTTAACTCGATAAGAGGCGGGGACAATCAGCTAAAGGGTACATTTAGGGAGAGTATAATATACATATATAGTGATTCCTTTAAGTCGGACTACAATCAAAGTAAAAGGAATCATAAAATAAATCCTTTTACTTTGCATGCAGGACAGGGTTTGTGATATATACAAGGAATATGGATATAACAATATAGAACTAGAAGATATATTAACTTGAGAAAAGTCTAAATAGGGGTACTTAACAATGAGTTTATGAAATGAAACAGCAGCGCTTCATCGGTTTTGTATATTTGAATATATAGCACCAATTCAGATTTTATATTGCCTATAATGATTGCTTTTCCCGCCTTAAAATTTGATTTGGTAAGAGGGGGGATCTATAACCAAGCATTAAAATTTTGTGGGATATCAAAATAATGCATGATATAAAAGTAAAATCCCATGGTAGACAGGTGCAATAAGGTAAGCGTTTAATTCCCATTTTTACCATGGCTGTAATCACATTAAACGAGCACCCATAAATACAATTATCAGCTCAGAGTGAGGGGTAGGGAAGAGAGAGAGAGTGAGAGAGAGAGAGATAGGGGGCGGGAGGAAAAATGTCAACATGTGTGTACTTTCGGGGTAACGTATCAAAGGACATTTTCATACAATAATCACGTTTGTCCTGCCCTTGGTGGGATCGCGAGGAGGAGAGGAGAGCCTCGATTGAATTACGCCTAAAATGCTGCAACAATTTTTCACTTTATGCGATATTATGCTGCAATTATGTGTGTCATTTTCACCCAAAGCCCGCCCAACATCCAGCCTGGCCAACAAGGACAACGTTGTTGTTTGTTGCGTCAAATAAATTTCCAGCAGAAAGCAATTAAGTCGCGAATTAAGTACGGCGCATAGGACACGCAGCCCGGGTAACACGGATACGACCACGTACGTGCGCGCCCATATGTGCGAGTATTGTGTAGTGTTGTGTTGGCCCGGCTGCCTCGCTTTTCCGCATTTTCCTCTCTGTTCCCCTTTTCCCTTTCTCCATACCCATATCCCCAACCCCTGACTACCCACCGACCTGCTGCGTGCTCAAAGTTTTAACGCGTTGTAATAAATGTTAATTTTGTCCCAACGAAAATCAACATTTATGGCGTGTTTTATGTGAGCTTCAACATATTTCCCGTGTTCCCGGATATTTTCACCCCAACTTCCATTTTTTTTTTTGTCTCTCTCCTCCTGACAGGATTATGCTCTTCCACACACCTACTCACACGCTGTCTGTTTGTTTGTTTGTTTCTGTCTGGGAGAGGCGCACCATACTTAAAAAATATAATTATTTATTGATCTACAAACAAAATTAACATCTAAATGACGCCAAACGCCCGGCTTTGAACTGCGTGTCCCACCAAATGAATTGTTGAACATTTCATTTGCCTTGGACAAACATAATTAAGTTCAGCCAAATGAATTTTCAATTAGCCATAAAATTATATTTGATTTTATTTCAGCAAAAATATTTTATATGCTACGAATGAAGGTCTACCTTGGAAGGGTAATATGCTGTATTTTTGGGAATTTAATAGAGAGTTTCAAAGATTTTAAAAGTTTTTATAGACAATTTACTAAATAATAAAGCTTATTCTTCTGTCTAAATTCTATGATCACTAATAAGTAACACACTATCTATAGAGTCTATCAAAAAACTAGTTCATAGTGCATAATCCAAATGTGTCACGTTATATCAGGCAGAATTATCCGGTTCATTGATTTGAATTTTTCTATATTTTCGAGTAAATTTCCCGCTTAAGCGTTTATTGCATAGCCACTGGCAGTGCCATTGAATATGCAGCATAAATAAATAGCATAATTTGTGTTTTACAAATTTGTGCGATTACACATTGTTTTTTTTTTTTTTTTTTTGTTTTTGTATGCAGCTCTTAGGGGGAATAACAGTTATTTGTAAAGAGATTTAATATGTGTGAGAGGGCGTGTCAGTGTGTGTGTGTGTGTTTGCATAAAGTTAATTAAATTGTTTGCATGCGGCATTAACTTCTAATTAAATTTGCTTTAAATCCATCGACAGATTTACCAATAAAATCGAAATGGTGAATTTTGGTCAGAGTTTAAGGCAAATTGAATCAACTATTTCGAACTAAGCAGGATGGCCTAAGGTCATCTTTGGCTAGATATATACAGGAGATATATACATATATATTATATAGGAATATATTTATATATATATTTGTGTGGCGTGTTAGTGCAGGAGTAAAATTCTGTGTTGTATTTCTCTGTTGAGGTTATTTGGAGAACATAAACAGAAAACGCTAGATGGGCGATCTTTTTCACAAAATGATTTCTTGAAGTTAGCAGAATATTTGTTGATGCTGATAAGTATGCTATAGCAAAACTAGTTTTGAGGGAATTTTGGATTTTTTTCAATTTAATCTATAAGAAACCTGTTTTAAGTTCAAATTAATAGTTCTACTTAATTTTTTACTCACGAAATCATTTTGTGAAACTAACCCTTGGGCAAACATATTTTCGCATTAAAATAAAAATAATGAAAACCATACGATATTTAGGCAGCACAAAAACGCAAATAATAAACGAAAATCAAAAGGAAAAACTAAGAACAGGGCATAAAACTTCGATCGAACGCAAACGGAAAGAGAAGGTTCGAAAAGTATAGAAAAATATATAGTATATAGCCATACCGCAGCTGCAGCAGCGACAGCGGTGGCGCGTGTTTGGGCCGCTTTTAATTGTGCCTGTAGGTGCAGGGGGGGATGGAAGTAGCGGCAGGGGTCGCGTGCGCACCTGCCCTTCACGGCGTCCATGCAAACCGTTATCGAGCCGTCGTCGTGCCTGGCGACGCTCTCCTGCGGATGGGCGAACCGGCACTCGGATTCCGCCCGTTTGCAGGCGCCGCGCAAGAATTCGCGGCACACCTGGTTTTTTTTGGATATTTTCAGTTTTCCGCAATCATCGGTCATCGATCGCAAAAACACACACACAACACGATGCCCGGGCCCGCATTTAAAGATGATCATCAGTCGGGGGGTTTTTTTATATTATATATATATAAATATTTCGATCGGGTTGGGCAATATACATATATTCAGTTGGTATATTTTTCGATCCGACATCGGTATCAGTTGATTGGTTGGTTGGCGGGCGTTGGCAGCGGATAGCAAAAGTGGCAGCAGTTGTGGTTCAGAGTGGTTCAGTGGTGTTTATTTTTCGGTTTTGTGGTGTGTGTGTGTGTGTGTATTATAGGCGGAGAAGGTGTATGTATGTGTGTGTGTGTGTGTGGAGTGTGTTTTTTGGAAATAATGGAAGGATATTCAGTAACAAGTTCATTTCTTTTGTTTCGTATTTGATTTTTATATTTTACTTTAGTTATTATTTTGGTTTACGTTTTAGTTTTCATCAAAAGAAAAGTTAAGTATTTGCGCAAAAATATATATATATTTTTTCGATTCGTTCCAAGTCAAATATGGTAGGCAAGTTTTTTGTTTTTTTGTTTTTTTTGTTTAGTGGTTAGAGCCGATACAGATGCATTTCAAATTTGCTTTTTTATTCGTGTTAGGTTTTTGTTTGATTATTTTTAACGAGTACTTGCCTCTTGGAATTGGTTTTGCTTTGTTTTTTTATTTTTGTGTGTTGTTTTTCTTTTTTTTTTTTAGGTTTTTTTTGCTTCATGCCGATTAGTTTTCAATTTGCATTTTTAGGTTTGGTGCACTTTTGAGTACGAGAAAACACAAGAGGAACACGTAGCACAAACATAACAGAAAGGAACAACGAGAATGCAAGGATTATTCGAAATCAGGAGTAAAAAAAAGTAAACACGTTACGGGGAGCTCTGGGGGCGGGTTGGACTGTTTGTAGAGAGTATTTCGGTGTCGTCTGCTGATTCAAAGTAAACAAGGAGCTAGGATATATAAGTAAAACATATAAAATCAATGACTAACAACTCTATGATACTTAAAAATCCTCAAGGGAATACGAAATATATCTGCTAAGAACTCCATATCTACGATGATAGACTTTTGAGAGCTAAAAGGAATTTTCTAAAACTCTAAAAGGGACCCTCTTGGAGAATGGGATGAAAACGGGAGCTTCCCTTTCGCTTTTTTTTTTTTTTTTTTTTGGAAAATCAAAAGAAAATCTTATGAAATTGAGAAAATGAAAAGAAAATAGAAATATCAGTGCAAAGAATTCTGCAATTTTTCAATAGTTTTCATTTGGCTATTTACAGGGCTCGTAAGCTTCCTAAAAAAGCTTCTGAAAAGCAGCTGCTAGGCCAAGCTGCAATATAGTGCGATCGACTCTTTGGATCGATCCTTACTAATTCGTTGATATTATGTAGAGATATTAAAAAAGATCTTAATAAATCAAAAGAGAAGAGAATATTGGGTGTCTTTTTGATATAGTTGATTTCAAATTTTGGCGGTGTTAGACAAATACGAATGTGTGTCAAAAAACGTCGAATCAATTTCTGGTTATTGGCGAATTATACAGTTTGATTTTTGGCAAACTCAAGAGAACTCAAAACTCTGTACAATTGTTGTCGTTTTTAGTTCGCAATATTTGTTGTAGACGTAGTTTAAGATTAGATTCTAATTAGAAATATAAATACATAAAGACATGCCACGAAACTAAACGTAAGAACAGAAACAATTTTCGTTGCGTGTAAGTTGAATTAATAAACACAAATTAAGCGTAAATTAAATCGCATTAAATTGACTTCCTTGGATACATAAAGTTTTTTTTTATATATATATATTATATAATGCGATATTGGGCCGAAACTCACCTCTAATCTGTCGGAACGTGGTATTTTCTGCTGGGCCACCTGCACTGTTTGGGGCACCACGGGTCCCAGTTGGGAGGCCACGGCCGTCGGATCCGGGCCCAGCAAAGCGGGCACCAGGTGTCCCGTTGTGTAGTACGGACTGTACGAGTTGGCCGGAATGCCAGTCAGATAGGGATTTGTGGCCTGCAAGTAGTGGATGGGTGGTCAGTCATTAGGCCATTTATCAATGTAATTCATCAAACAGTTGTTAAGGTTATTGGGATATATTTATGGTGGATTATTATTTGGGAATGTTTACGCATAAGGGATAATGTTGTCATAATTTCTCAAATGGATAAAGGTTAATAACGTTGGGTTTATATTACATGAAAATATTACTAGTAATAAAGGTTTTTCAATAGCTTATGAAGTTCCCAACTCTTTCTGCAAATACCTAAACGGATCCTTGAAAACAGCCACCAATGAAAATCCAAACATCTGTTTAAAAATATCTCCCGCTATATCCTTCAGCTCCGTTTAAAGCCCCATTTAAATCTGTTTTATTTATGGCTTATACCCGTCCAAATCTAATGGTTCGACACCCCATTGAAGGCTTCACACTGGCCATTAACTGACCCTTTCGCTCGGCACAAATTATGCTTGGCACGCACTCGTAAACCTTTTTGGCCCCCCCTTGAAAAAACACCGGCTCTAATGAAAATTCATGCATTTTTCAACAATCAACATGGGAAAGTCCCTTCTTTCCCTTCACTCAAACACAAAAAAGAAGCTTCACCCTAATGATGGCTGTCGTTTAGCTGCAAATCCACAAAAACCATGTCGCAAATTATTTGAGAATTAATTTTCGATTTGTTATAAAACGGGAAAGTCCCCCACCCCACCCCCCTTTAAATGAATAAAACATTCCTCTTGCCCACTCTCTGACTCATTTTCGCGCACTTTGAATTCCTCGCTTTTTTTTCGTTCTCTTTCTGGTTGGTATTTTTGGGAAATTCATGACGGGAGAGAAGTTCGCTTATAAATATTCATATTTTCGAACTGGAAAGCCAGAAGAGGGAAAGCGAAGGAAAATTCAATTAAAGTATTAGGAGCGGCACTTACCACGGCTGGCACTTGGCCCGATATGACCGGCTGGCCGGGCGCGATGCCCATCTGTTGCATCAGTGCATTCTTGAGGGCCAAATGATTGCGTCCATTTATCAATAACTGATCCTTCAGATGCTGTGGTGGATGAAAATATTTGCACGGCGGTTTATCACGATTACAGCGTCCCTGAAAGAATACAAGAAAATATTTTAGATAACTTTTTCTTACAATATAAATATATTTGTGAGTGGGAAAGAAAAAGAGAAAAGAAAAGAAAGCTTCATAAATTGCCCTCGACTGACAGCAGGCTGCGTGGGTGGTTAAATCTTTTGGCCATCCACAACGGCAGCTGGCCATAATTCAGTTTCGATTGCTGGCAGTGGCAATTTAGTAAGCGTGTTGGCCAGGAAGTGCTTTTGTCGCACTAAATAAATTACTTGAAACAAATTTATGTTAATGTTTTCTACTCCTGTGGGTGGCTGGTCTAGCCCTGTTGATTAACACAAATTGTTGTGCTTAACCTTAATGCCCGGCTTGTTTCTGGTTCGTTTTGCAAGAGTAAATACGGTTTCATTAGTGTTTATTGAACGAAGGTAAAGGGATGTTCCGGATTGGTTTTCCTTTAAAGAAAACCTTTAATCTGAAGTAAGCAACATTTTAAAGTTTAAAATGCCAAACTACAAGCCTTTGTGATGATGTTTCATGAAAAATACCGTGAATTTGTGTAATACAATCGACTTTCCCATTGAAGTTGCCATAATTGGTGGCCATTTAAAACAAATTACAGTGCCTGCCATAAGGCTACTTCTATGTAATTTTCTGTTATCCTTGGCATGACTCAGAGCTCTGAATAACTTTATGTTCGTGCTGTCAACACATTTTACCCAAGAACCAAAAGAAAAACCAAACCAATTAACTGCATGCAAAAGCCGTTGCAATTTTCCTTCTGGCCAAATCTGTATACCGGAATGCTCATGTAACATGACATCGCAGTTTTTCCGAAACATATTTTCGGGCTATATGCGAGATCGAAATTCGTTTTTAATTGCGAAAAAGTAAAATTTCACTTCATTAGCACGTGTAATTGTGGCGGCGGATTAACCTGGCTCACTCTCCTTTTTAAGCCGAAATGTCAACAATAATTATAATGACCCGGCGAGGAGTGGGCTGCTGCTGGCTAATGCCACCCCGCCCCCACTGTTGATGATGCATGCAACATGGCATCGTGGAAAAGGGATTTTACAGGCGAAACGAGGGCAGGCCAACTGGCAAACAAATATGCATGTAAATTATATTTAATTCAGAGCAAATGAAGTTAACAAATATTTGCATACAGCAAGGCGACCGACTCAACGTTGAAGTAAAAAATGAATGAAAAAAAAAAAGAAAAATGTGAAAATTTATATGTAAAAGGGGAAAATTGTGTGTGCATAAATTGATTGTTTGCCCTGGCCAGAGGAGGACAGCAAATATCAACTGTAGCGCAGAGACCTGCCAACTCGTTTTCGGTTTTCCTTTTGTGATTTTTCCCTCTCTTTTTTGCCAGCTGCTCCTGCTGCCTCTGCTGGTGGCATTTACAATTTATGACGCCCCGAAAGCTGTACAAGATTTATGGCGCCCAACAACTGGCGCTAACTCACAAATAATTGTTGCTGAACAACATTTCTCTGTTGATTTTTATTTTCATTGTTGTGATTCTCGCCAAATATCATTGACAAATCTATGCAAGGAATAACTGTTTAATAAACAACAAAACTATAACTATAACACACTCCCTGACAAAGCCATAAATTAAGCTAATTAATTGTCAAATGCTTGGCATTCCCCATCATTCGATGGATAAATATTTGGCAAACCAACAAAATACTTTGCATTGTTGGCTCGCAATTTTGATCAATAAACACAGACACATAGAGTACAAAATATTTATTGACGACAAGCAAATATTTTTCACCATCCTTCTGTGCGGAAAACTTTCAATCAGCAAGTGCCAGCCAGGACTTTCAGAGAATATACACACACTAACACACAAAATGGGAATACAAATACACACGAATTGGAGCCACTTTGGCATATTTGTTTGTGCTTATTGGCGCCATTGGCAGTAATTTAATGCTTCGATTGAGTTTATTTAACAAAACAGCCACCGTTTCGAATGGCTGTCCCCAGACTATATCTGTGTTTTGTATCTTTCCCTCTCTCTAACGCTATTTCGTTGCCCTAATTCGGTGTAATGAAAGGCTAATGTAATTTTTCATATCGCTCACTTGTTGCCCGTGCCGTGTAACTGGGTTAATTGCCTCCTGATGGCCATCGTCATTGAGTCATCATGCTAGGTAATGGGGCTAACTGAATTATCAGTGTGCATAAATGGGATGTTACGTTATTGATGAATCTATAAATCGATTTGGCATTCGTTTTCTCTCTCTGCTCTTTTTTTTTCTCCTATTTTTCAGCATCTTTCAAGGGCTTTGGCAACAAATTTAAATTGCATTTGCTGGCCACAATCAAATAAGACATTATTCTTACAGACCAGGAGAGAGATCCTCCTCCTTCTGCTGCTGCTGCTGCTACTGCTGCTTCTGCAGGACAGACATTATCTTTGAGTGCCAAGCGCTTGCCACTTTCCACCTCCCATTTACCCGTTGGCAATTTTCTTTCTTGTGGCTGCCGCCCGTAGATATGCAACACTTTCTTGCTGCCGCCGCCGCTTGACATTGCCACCGCGATTTCTTCCATTCTTTCTTTTTTTTTTCCACACGCCACACTAAACATTTTCATGTCATTTCGATTGTAATCTGCATGACTGCCTCGCTCCTTGGGCATGCGAAAAAAAAACCTCGACAGGGAGAGAGAGAGAGTGGAAAAGCGAGTGCGAAAATTGCAAATGGTGTCCACTCACGCACGCAGGCGGGGGCGCCGCAGCATATTTGCATTGCCAACGTTCGCGTTGTGCAACTGAAACTGGAACCCTTTTTAGAGCACTCGCCTTTTTTCGCAACGCTTCTTGTTTCACAGCTTTGGTCTGATGCAGATTATCCGCTTTAAATTGCAATGATTACTTTTTCGCTTTCCTCTTGCCGGGTTTTCCATTTTTTTTTATCCATTTTTCTTTTTTTTGGTGGAATGATGGCAGTGATGGCATTTCAGAGCCATTTTTCTTCTTTTGCCAGGCCATTCGAAACAATGTCGCTGTCGTCTAGCGTTCTGGCATGCCATTGTGGAGAACGATGGGAGTGCTGGGGTGCTGGCTGGCTGCGCGGGTTGGCCATTGGCTAAGGAATTTCTCATGTTTTCATGCCAAGTGCAAGTCAGGTCCAGTCATGTATATCGTCGCGTATCGCATTGCCATTTGGTCGACATGCGTCTTGGGATGTTACCTCTCCCCCCTTTCTTTGGGACGCAGCTGCTGGCCATCAAGAAGCTGGGAGCTAGGATCTAGAAGCTGGGAGCACTCAAGTCCATGTCCTCGTCTTCGTTGGGTATTAAATGTCATTTTGCATTTCGTGACAAGTTGGCTAATCTGACTCGAAAGTTATTTATTTCTTCTTTGTTGAGTGCAAAGGAATTTTTCTTACACTTTTTTTCAGCTTTAGCTTTCCTCTTTTTTTTTTTCGTTTGCCCTGAGAGCATTTACATGGCATTTTCCTTCAGGGTCTCTGTTTGCTTGGAACTCCGTTTTCCCTCTTTTTTTTTTTTTGCCTTAGCCAAGCAACTCTAGCTACTTTCCTTCAATTTAGCGGCGATAGGAATCGCCTTTGAATGTTAATAAAACGGATTTTTATGCAAATTTAAAACTGTTTAGTGGTTCGACTTTGGTATGCATTAAAAGAGGAAAAATGCGATCCGCGTCTAGGGCCCTTGTGAAAATAGACAAAGAGTTGGAATAATGCGAATGAAATATGTTCGCCCGGCTTTGTTTGATATGGCATGGGGGAAATGAATGGCCATGGGTTTAAAGTTTAAATTTGGTTTTCGTATTCTTTATAGACTTATATTAGACACTATTCCCAAAGTTGATATTCTCTTTCTTTTTAAGCACTATCAATGTAAGTTTTATGGCTTTAAGCTACTTATATGGTCTTAAGCATTGAAGAAAACTAAATATTATAGCCAGAAATTGGTTTGCCTTTATTGTCATAAATTCTAGAGGGCGTTACTAGCCGGCGTGTGAGTGGAACTTATGATAAGCCACTTTTGGAACACACAAATTGCATGTCCCCCCCGGATCTTTCCAGCCCCCCCCATTATCTTGCCACATCGTGCAGTGCAAACTCCATTTAAGGCTTTACATAAAACATAAGCAGAAAATGTTGCCGAATAAAAATGTAGAGAAAGGGAAAACAACAACGCTGGCAAGCATAATTCCTGACACTCTGCTGCCTGCTTTTTGGCCAAAAGAAAAACAGAGAGAGAGAGTTGCCAAAAAATTTAATGCAAACTAACGGCAGTACAAGCTTTAGCACTTTGGATCCAACTCACACACACACACACATAGTTGGGCAGAAAGAGTTGGCCAGAAAATGGGAGCAGGAGTTAGTTGAAAACTATTTTCGACGCTTAACGGAGAACTCAATTTGTTTTCACTTGGCCATGCTCACTGACAGGCACACACAGACACATATAAAACGTAGCTCAATAACACAAACAGCAAATAGAGATAATCAAAAAGCAATTGCAAACAACAACCAAGCCTCAAACTGTCCAGAACATGAGAGAATTGGTAAGAGAAAGAGAGAGAGAGAGAGAGAGAGAGAGGGAGAGGGAGAGCCAGAGAGAGCAAACACAGTGAGATATTTATTGTATAAATTCCGGCAACAAAATAAATTAAAAATGACAATTCACCGGTAGGCATGGCCAGGGAAATCAAGGCAATTTTCCATGTGCCCAACATACACACCAACACACACAAACACTCACACACACAACTAGTTTGCAGTTTAATTTTCAATATGGCTAACCGGCAGAGTCGAGCGAGCGAGCATTGAAAATGAAAATATTTTCCTGAAATGCAAACAAATTGGCAAAAGGCAAATGGTCAATATTTGCTAGCCATAGGAGAGCCATAGGACAGCCAGGACAGCCAGGCAAAAGTGTTTGCAGGCCCGGGACAAAACAATGGCTAAAAGCAGAGTTTGGCTTTGGACGGGTTTCGGTTGGAAGGTAGACAGCGACGACCAGTGGTG